ACGTAGAGCGCGCCATCGCGCAGAGCGGAAATGAGAATATAGCTAGCATCAAGGTACTCTCTTCAAACCAGCTAAAGAGCGGCGACCTTAGCATCAAGACAGCTACCAGCACCGATATAGAAGCACTAAAGCAGTTCGCCGACGATTGGGTCCACCGCGTCGGCAACAGAGCCACCCTACGGATCACGACTTACGGCATCATTGCACACAGCATACGCACTAGCACAATCGACATAACTAGGTTCGAAGAGACGAGAAATCAGCTACTGCTAGACAACAAGCCGTTCATTCCGCAGGCAGAAATTAAGTACATAGGATGGCTAACACGCAACGCACCCACGAAAGCTGCCTCCAGTATTATTATAGAGTTTAGCAAGCCAGAAGACGCCAACAAGATCATCGACGAGGGCCTAATCTGGCAGGGCGAGGTCTTTCAGTGCGAGCGATACGAGCGACAGTGCCGAGTGAAGCAGTGCTTTAAGTGCCAACACTACGGCCACATAGGAACCCAGTGCAAGGCAACAATCGCATGCGGCTACTGCGCTCAAGAACACGAGAGTCGAGATTGCCCGTCGAAGCTTGACCGGACCATCCCCAAGAAGTGCGCCACCTGTCGAGGCGAACACGAAGCATGGAACTACCAGTGCCCCACCAGGAAAGAAGAGAGGGCGAAAGCGAAGGCTGCATACGACATGCGCCCACACTACCACCCGGTCACGGAGACAGGAAGGACGATTCCACTAGAAGAACCGGGGACCGCCGCCCGAAGGAGCAGACTCACGCAAGCCGCTGTATTGACGCAGCCAACACCAATCACCAGGAACCGATCCCAGACCGGACGAGGGCGGAAGAGGACCAACGCTGGAACCACCGTTGACCCAGCAGAGCAACAAAACCCGCCGACACAGGCGAGCGGCAGCCAAAGGCCACAGAGGCACATCATGCCCACCTGGAGGGCTATGGAAGCAACCGGGAACAGCACGCGACGAACACAGGGCGGCAACAGCCAGCACATGGAAATCGACTCTAACAACGAAGCATGAATAGACACAACAGACTAAACATATTACAGTACAACGTACGCAAGTCAAGAGACATGGTCATGGCGTCATTACTACGTGACCCAGGGATCTACGACTTCGATATTATCGCTATTCAAGAGCCGTGGAAAAACCCATACACAACAACTACACATCACCCAGCCAAGGACAAGTTCCACCTTTGCTACCCAACAAGCCACACAGGAGAAATAGCTAGAGTCTGTTTCTTTATTAACAAGAAGATAAACCAACTAGGATGGCGCTTTGAGGAACGAACTAGAGATATCTGCTCTATAATTATAGACCTAAAAGACGACCAGCAACAACAAGAAAGACTGGTCATCTATAACGTCTACAACCCGCCGAAGACCTCAAGCAACCGACAGAGTGTACTACCACAGGTACGAGAGGCGTTAAGACAATATCATACGGACGAACAAATACTGCTTGGTGACTTCAATCTCCACCATCCTCTATGGGGAGGGCTAAATAGAGAGGTCGCCGATCTTGAGTCAGAAGACCTGATAGACATTATAGGAGACTGCGCACTCCATAACACTCTCCCACCAGGAACGACCACATATGAAGAAGGCCGCTCGCAGTCCACGATTGATCTCTGCCTTGTAACAACGGGACTAATCGACAAAGTTATTAAGAGCGAAGTAGATAGAGGTCTAGACCACGACTCAGATCACCTGCCAATAAGCACAACGTTAGACCTTACAGTGCAACAGCTCAAGAAGGAGCCGCGCAAAGATTGGAAGAGACTAGACGAGAAAGCGTACACGAAAGCTCTAAGACACGCCTTACCTCCGCTTCGAAGACCGCTCACAAAGGCAGCGCTCGACGCATACACAGGTGAGGTGACAGCCGCAATTCAGAACGCGATACACAAGGCAGTGCCGGAGACTCAATCCTCTACCTACACCCGGGAAGGATGGACTGAGGAATGCAGAGCAATCCTAACTGAGACAAAACGACTAAAAAGGGTACACAGTCAGTACCACACGGAAGAGACCTGGGAAGCGTACCGCGCCGCAAGGAACCACAAAGCGAGAACAATTAGCAAAGCCCTACGCAAAGCACATAGAAACCGCATAGAGCAAGCGACAGAGTCACCAGACGCGCTGTGGAAGCTAGCGAGGTGGGCACGTACGAGGCATGACCAGTCAATTGGATCCATACCAACAATACAGCACCCTGACACCCGATGTGAACTAGAAGACCCAGCAGAAAAGGCTGAGCTGTTTCGAGACGTCTTCTTTCCAGCGCCACCAGAAGCAGACTTGGGAGACATAGAGAATGCTACATATGCAGGCCAGATTAACATGCCACCAATCGAAGAAAAGGAGGTACGGACAGCCATTCGAGCAGCATCGCCCTTCAAAGCCCCAGGTCCGGACAGGATCACGAATAAGGCGCTGCAAGCCGGGATCGACCTAATAGCAGTCCATCTAACGAGGATCTTTAACCAGAGTCTGCGGCTAGGATACTGCCCAAACTCATTTCGAGCGTCCATCACAGCTGTCCTCCGCAAACCCGGCAAGACCAACTACGCAGTGCCCAAGGCATACCGTCCCATCGCGCTACTCAATACTATTGGCAAGGTTATGGATGCAGTGATAGCCAGGAGACTGAGCTACCTAGTGGAAACCCACCACGTGCTACCGCTAACCCACATGGGTGGAAGGAAGCACCGATCCACAGAGCACGCACTACACGCTATTACGGCGAAGATCTATGAACGGTGGAACAGCGGAAAAGACGGCCAGGTGGCTAGTCTCTTGCTGCTAGACGTGACTGGAGCCTTCGACAACGTGTCTCACAAGCGGCTGCTCCACAACCTACGAAAACGCAAGGTCGACGAAAGGATAGTGCGCTGGATAGCAAGCTTTCTAAGCGATAGACACACCTGCATCTTAGTCGATGGGTATAAATCCAAAGACTACGAGATAAACACAGGCATCCCCCAGGGCTCGCCACTCTCCCCTATACTCTATCTCTTCTACAACGCAGACCTAATCGAGCAGTGCAACGAGCAGACGGACGCTATGTCAGTAGGGTATATTGACGACGTTGCTATCCTTGCCTGGGGCAAGACTACAGAACGAACGTGCGAAGTGCTGGGCACAGTACTAGAGAAAGCACAGCGTTGGGCAACGACACACGCATCTGTCTTTGCTCCCGACAAATTCCAGCTAACTCACTTTACAAGATCACGCAAACGCATCAACGTCGATGCGCCCATCCAGGCAGAGTGGGGCGAGATAAAGCCGTCCCCAACATGCAAGTACCTCGGGCTAACCCTAGACAATAAACTGAAGTGGAGAGAGCAAGTAGAGACGATCAGACAGAAGGCAATACGTACAGTACACATGCTGAGTAGCCTCGGCAGCTCTACTTGGGGCGTCCGTATGCAAGACATGCGCAGACTGTACGAAGCCATCGCACTCCCACAAATGCTGTATGCTTGCTCGATCTGGTCCAACGCCAACCTCAACGACAAGAAGCGCACCTACACGCACAAAACGATAGATGCCCTGCGCAGCATCCAAGCAAGAGCAGCGAGAAGTATATGCGGAGCCTACAGAGCAACCTCAAGGGCCGCACTTGACGTAGAAACGTTTCTCCTTCCAATCGAACAGCAGATCTGGAAGCACAACGCAGACGTTATTACTCGACTGTCTTCGTCTAGGGACATCGCGAAAACCGCAGGCTTTGAGCCGAGAGAACTGGCGCTAGTGGCTATTGATAAGAACTACAGGGCACACAAGAGTCCTTGGCAGAAGGTATACGAGGCACTGAGGAGCAAGCAAGTGCGCGATCTAGACAAGCAAGAGCGCATCCCGCCATTTATCACGCCCCCATGGCAGCGAGGACCGCACACCTACATCGACGGCAATGCAGACAAGGCCCGAGACCGCCACGATGCAGAGTGTGCAGCAGACAACAGCATTAGCATCTACACGGATGGCAGCGGCATCGACGGCGAGATTGGCTCCGCAGCGGTATGCCCACTCACACAGCAGACACTGTCTGTACACATGGGGCCAAGCAGCCTGTCGACAGTATACGCCGCGGAGCTGCAAGGCATCAGTTTGGCACTACAAATCGCACGGAGATACGCAAACGAGCACAGTGAACGGAAGAGTATAGCCATATACACGGACAACCAGGCCGCTATATGGTCTATAGCCAAGGCAGAGGGACGATCTGGCGCCTACATCCTCGGAGAGATCGCGCAGCAGGTCCAGGAGCTCCAGGACAAAGGACTAACTGTGACCGTTCGATGGATACCGGCCCATGTAGGAATCCCCGGAAACGAGGCCGCCGACCAGGCTGCCAAGGAGGCTACTGGATGGAGAGAGGACGGCCGCAGCCAGCCACCAGCAAACCCGCCCTCGCAGCTGCACCCACTCAGAACAACGCTCAGAAGGTGGTGCAAGACACAGGCAGAAAGGGCTTGGATCAGCGCATGGAGGGAAGACAAGAGAGGCCGTGCGACATACAGACACACACCGACGCCCACCAAGAAAGTGCTGCAGCTCCACGAGAGGCTCAGCAAAAGGGAAAGCGCGCTGTTGGTGCAGCTGCGAACCGAGAAGATAGGCCTCAACGACTTTCTCTTCAGCCAACACGTCCCGACCATTACCAACCCCCGCTGCAGCTGTGGAGAGAGGCGGCAGACCGTCGCCCACGTCCTCCTCCGCTGCAGCAAGTATAAGGACCTCCGGAACAGCATTTTTGCCAACCTATCCGGACGAAACAGCCTTAGGAAGATTCTGAGCACGCCGCAGCTAGCCACTAAAGCTATCGAGTATATGGAACAGACGCAGATCCTTGGGCAAGTGGGGATCAGAGATGAGTAGACGACGCCGAGCGCTGGGGGGAGACTGTAGGTACAGCGGACGCGACTGACGAGGCAACGCGCCTCTACGAGCCTAGAATTAAAGCATACAGTTAGTGGAACCAGTATCTAGACAAGCTTGCCGGCCGAGTGTAGATAGTGGTTGAGGAAGAACGGCAGGTTTGTGGGGACAGATGGTTTCTTTCGAGGGATGAAGTGGGGCGGCGCGGATCAACGTCCGCACCGCGTCCGCTGTCTGCCACGCCTGTCACTCCGGGCATAGCTGCGCAGCTCGCGGCTGAAACCGAGTAGGAGTCAATAAATAAATAAATAAATAAATCAATCTACAGCGCTTAGAGGAACCGGACTCCCCTCAAAAGCAGGCACGACAAAGTGTGCGCCATACTACAAGCAGGGATCATCACGCCTCGCCTGACTGGCTAAACGTAGCGTACCGCTGTCAGCACACGTGCAGTTAAGTTCTAATAATTCAATTTGATTAAATTCTTGTCGGTTACAGCTGCGATTTCCTGCACTTTTTCCCGCAACCCGACAGACCAGTGGTACTAACTACACCCAATCAAAAAGATGTTCTTGTAAAGAGACAGGCTACTCTCTCCTCTGTTAGAGAGATCCTACACAGCCCCTTCCCGAAACCATTCTAAAAGCGACTCATTATACCTTCTCACACCCTCGAACGCCTTGGGTCCATTACGCTCCGGAACCCTTGTCAGCGCATCGAAAACCCTCGCAAGATCCTCATCAAAAGTATCCACTACATACCCACACTCGCCTTCTCTGCCTACGAAGCCCTGAAGGTCGATATAAGCAAGTATAGCATGGGCACTCGGCACATCATCTAAGTGCCTCAGGAACTCCATTCACTGCTCGCCCGGCCATCCAAAGTAGCCCGTTGCCCTGCGGAACGCGCCCAAATGGTGACGCATGCTCATCCAGCTTTTTAAAGCGGTTTGTATACGCGCTGTGTCGTCCCCTAGCTGGGCTTGCAGGGCCTCTGTATCGCTGAGCCAGAACAGGTCGAGCAGGAAGTTCATCCGCTTTTCTGCATCGATGTCGTAGGAGTCGGAGCTGAACTCATTGATTCCATTGAGGTAGGAAAGGAGGAGTTTGAAGAGTTCGCGGCGGTACTCGCATTGTTGCCAGTTCGCGGGATCTGATGTGTGGGGTATAAGAGGTTGCGTGATTGAGGGCATGACTTGGTGTTTTTTGACGTCAATTAGTGACATAGCCTTCGTTATTGTAACTATGTGAGGAGGTGAGACGTACTGCGTTGAATTGGCTATCTGAGGTGGATTGAGCTACATATATAGATAGCCGTACACGAACTATCCCAACTCGTACTAGAGTGGCTCCAGTCAAGGCCGTAGACTGTTACCATCATACGCAGAGATGTAGTAATAAGGAAGAGAGCCGAGTGCGTTAAATCTCTCAAGACTAGCGGTAGTTAGCACTAACCTCATGACGCCTAGTGTCATGATATCGTGCATGGCGTCTGCAACTTCCGGGTGATACTGTTCTAGGTTTGCCGCGGTAGCCCCGCAGGAGGCATCGTACGCAATAGCTGTGTCTCCACAGCTCGATTAAAGGGGCGTCACCGACTGGGGGCTGTTGCATCCTGCTAACCAAGACCTCGATGGTCGTTTGTCGACCCACACACTGCACACAGCCCCAGGTGCTTCATCCTCAACCTTTATAAACCCTCGTAGCCTGGCATAGATAGCCATCCTCTTCCAGAACCAGTTTGACCGCACATTAGGAGCACGATCGTCTGAATTGCTCTTGTGTCTGACCTCGCCCTCACTCCTCCCTTCGCACCCCTTCCCCAGCACTTCTCTAGCACTTCCCAACCGTCTATGGGCAGACGGTTACTGTTAAATCCCGCTTACTTGTCCACTAGCTAACAGCGCACAGCAACCTAGCAGAGTGTGTTTCTTGTTTTTGTGCTGGATGTTGAAAGTTCGAGCGAAGTTCGAGCGAAGTCCGAAGCAACTATGAAGCACTGCCAGGACCCGATGAGTCTCAAGCGAATACTAAATACTGACACTGCCGACAATCTCGACACTCCTGACACCCCAGCTCGTAAACAGCATAAAGTGACAGCGCAACACTGCAGCCGTTTGCACACCTTTGGCGCAACAACTAGCACCGCCTCCCGAGACAAGCAATACGACAACTCTGCGCAGACTGTCGATGCAGTGAAGTACGCCAACCCTGCTCAAACCTACAACGCGGTGAACCAATATCCTCCGCACGCCTACCCTTCGCAAACCCTCGATGGACGTTGCAGCGTTGAGACGCTCCCGCCCATCACCGCCGGCGTAAGCTCAGGTGCTTCAAACATCGGCCGAAGCTCTTTCAAAAGAGATAAGAAATTTATTGTCGTCAACCCTGGAGACTATTATACACCTAGCAACGAGTACAAACCAGTTTGTGGGACATGTGGTAGGGATGATCTTATTTGGGATAACTTAGACCGTCATCAGGAGTCACCCTACTGTGTGAACGAGCGAACCTTCAAATTAGCGTACGCCAAAGCTGTTTTAAACTACCGCTATGATTAGCTCCCAGCCGTTCTCGATCGCTTTGACAAACGGCATGGTCAGACAACCAAATATTACAGATCTGACTTGGACAAAGTCATTTCGCTGTTAGCGGGAGGTAGGGGTAGGGGTAGATCTTGGGTAAGGTGGTTTAGCACCCTGCCAAGATTAACGAAGCTGTGTCGCGATCTCGACAACCACTTTCACTGGTACCCTTACCCTCCGGCATACCCTATACCCTACCAAAAACCGAATCCTCCGCCAAACTACATCCTACGCGAAAACCCAAATCCGACATACCCTTTGAATTACCCTTCAACGTACCCTCGTCCTTGCCTACCTTCAACAGCCCCGACTTATGCCTTCGAAATCACTGCCGCTGGGACATCATCAGCTCCCAATTAACTCGAAGCCACCACGAGGACTGCAGCCGAAGCTGCTACGAAAGCCATGTTGTCGCAGGCCAAGCGCTGTCGTGAACATAGACTTTATTACTAATAGCGCCGTGCGATGACCTTCCTATCAGCTGACCTAGAATGCTACAAAAAACGCAATATAACGTATTTCCACCCGTGACGAAAAACCACCTATACCGAAACAAATGAGGGGTACTTTGGCTTTGCTTCCTTATAACTCCACCCTTACGACTATGTTCGCCCTATAGCTTTGATGTGTTATGCTATAGCGACTTTTAAATACAATAGACCCTTCGCACCTCAATATTACCGTCGCATTATCACTCTTACGCCTCCTTCGCGGCACACCTTCTTTCGTTACGGCCCAGTGTCCTATGATAAGATAACCGTTAGTAAGGTCCTGTCTCTTTTATAACCCCTACCAATGTCTTCTCTAAGTCTAATAATGCGATTACCATAGCATCAAGTCATCACCAGCCTTGTTCGTGCAGTGGTGCGCGATTTGATGCAAGATCGCCATAGGGATCGGTACATCGAGGCGATGGCCTTACTTGTTCTGGCAAGCGTCAAACAGCGTTGCGTAATTTATTTCCATAACTAACCAAGGCCAAGCTAGCTGACTCATCAATAGCTGTGCCAGCAGAATGATTGTCAGCAAGTAAGATCAACTAGTCAACAGTCACCCGTCATATCAAAACAACTTTTCTTACACTCTCATGCACTTGCAGCTTCCGCTTTGCGCACGCCGCTTAGTGCTCACCCCTGTCTCGCTTGGCATAAGCCTTACCTTAACTGTTCTAGCTCCAGCTAGTGTGGCTCCTTGCTACCTGTCCAGAGAAACCGCTAAACTTCTTATTTATCCATGCTTATTGTATCTTATAGAGTACAACGTCTCTCACTGCGTAGCAAAGCAGCTTACAAGGTAGCATATATAACACAAATATAGTGATTCTTGTTGTTACTGGAACATCCTGCCCCACCAATGTTTCTTTTTCCTAGAGTTTTGGTCCTCTACTAAGCTGCTTTCCCCACCTATGTTCGTGCTACTGCCTGGACCAACATATTTATTTGAACGATTTTCATTGATCATGCCCTTCGAATTCCGACATTTAATGGCCGTGAAGGGATTGTTGTCTTTAGGTATTATGCTCAGACCGTCTGTGGAATGCATACTGTAGCGCATTCCATACGTATGCTCATACAGCTGCTGGTATAAGGTTGCGTTTTGTTTCACGAGCTCGTCAGCTTCTTCTCCACTCGGAACAAAGGGTATGCCAATTGTGATGTAGAGTTCTGGATCAACAAGTGACTGCGGCGGATCGATGCCGGTCCAGGCCCGTACGTGTTCGGCGTTCAGAATGTGGATAGGAATGAGTGTTGAAGTCTCTGCCAATGTAATCTGCGGTGCCTCTTTGCATGCTTGAGGCTGCCAGATAAGTCCACCAGGTTTCAGAGTCATCATATGGCTTGCAAAAGGCCTTGCTATACTTATGTGACCTCCGCGCAGTCGCAAAACCAAGTGCAGGACGCTACCCTAGTCAACCTTAGCCTATATTGACTTTTGAATATTGGGTATTGGAAAACAACCTCCACGATGCCATGGCTACTGAGAACAGTTTCTTTAGAGATGCATTAGTGTGCTGGCTTCTCCTTTAATCTGAGGAACTCACCATCAGTCATCTCCGTACGGTCGAAGATGATCCTTTGCTGATCTGGGGGGATGCCCTCTAGATCTTGTATTGCAGTTTTCAGCTGGGTACCTATAGTGACGTCATTGATGTCGACCTGGAAGATCTTCCCAGTGAGTGTTTTGACTTCGATGGTAAACGTGCTCAACTGATCAGGAACCACAAACACAGCTTTTGATGGTTTGATATCGAGCAACAAACTGCCGACAACGGTTCCGTCATCTGAGTTATTCTGGGATCTTTGTTACTCTTAGCAGGGTTAAAACTCTGTTTCAATGTCCGTTTACCTTGAAGAAGCAGGTGCTGCAAGAAACTGTCGAACACAGTCGGGAAAGGCGGAATCGGGTAATCCATCAAGGTAATACTTCCCATTGACAAGACAGTGCGCTTTCTTTGATGTAGCCGATCCAACCGCTACAGCGAATTCTCGATTGGAGTCGAAATCGATGAACATGGCTTCTTGATCTACTAATTTCAGCGCTCAATTGACTTGCACACCCTTAAGTTAATTCTCTTACCTCGCATGGCAATAAACCACCCGCCAGCTTCTCGAACCGAACTGGGAAGGCCGCGGAATCTGTCGACATGATACAACGGGAAGTGCCCTAAATCTGGAGTGTAGAACATATGCCCGTCGTTGGGAACCTTTGAAGTGCGCCGGAAGCTCAGTGAGATTTCACCGTTTGGCCCTGTAGCAAAAATACGACTGCAAGCACTAGTGCTTTGATCCATCTCAGCGAAAGAAAGTGCAAGTTCTGCCATGTTGTTTCCTGCTCTTAATACATACGCAAGTTCAAGCGCAGATGTCGAGTACTGTTGCACGCGTGGGTGCGGTGAAAAATTGATCTGTATTGTTACTGCTATCTACCATCTTCATTTATCTGTGGTGTATAGCTGTTGCTTTTTCTTGTTGAGGCAGTGCATCCTTGTTGCCATTACAGTGGCTTGTTGCTTTGGCTCAGCTGAAGTCATTGGTTCCCCACACTGCCCCGGCACTGCCCCAGCACTGCCCCTTACCGCCTGAGCGATTCCCGCCACTCCTTCTCCATCGCCGATCACCATCAGGAGAAGCGAAAACATGAGACACCAGTGGTAGAGAGTACACTGTTGGCGCTGCGCAAGAAGATGCACTGCCCACAGCGGGGTCGCGTGCTGGCGGTGCTAGCACATGTGTGGATGGGTCGGCGCAGTTAGGCTTGCGTAACCGTGGGGTCAAATGTGCCACAGCCACCATACCTGTAGTTTCCTTACTGCCAGTTATCGTTCTTAACTACTTCTTGTTCTAAGCATAACTTCTGCTCTTCATTCTCAACCGCTACTCTACTGCAAGTTGCGTCACATGGCTGCCAAAACGGACCACACTGTTTGCTGCGGTGACAGCGGATTGTCGGTAGCTGCGAATGTTATCGGAATTCTAACTTTTGTTCTTGGCGCGGCCTTGACCTACTTCGCATATTTTATCCTTTCTGTGAACGCTCTGGAAGACTTACGGACGATTTATGAAGATCAAGAACGATGGCGTATCGAACTACAACCAATCATCAATCATTGTGAACAAGAATACCATCGGAATGATCCTACTTTCTCAAAGTACTGCCAACAGCTAAAGGCAACATTGGAACAATCTAACCGGGTAACTAATGCAATCACCCGAGAGCTTGAAAAACTACCTAAGTTCGACAACGAATCAAGAATTCCACACGCCTTTCAGATCCGACGTCGTGTAATTTGGGTATTTCGGCGCCAAAAAATCATCGGGTATTTGGACCAACTTTTCAGAATCAAGACTGATGTGTACTCGATTTTCATGTCTTACTTGATACAGTAGGTTGTTCGGGAAGATACCGTTCTTGCTTTTTCTAACATGCACAGTCGGACAAACAATCAACTAGGCAGCTCGTGAAATAAAACGCGACCTTATACCATCAGCTGTATTAGCATACGTATAGAATGCGCTAACTATAGTTTGTATTGATTACATTAAGTTCTCTTCAAACAACCTGTCTAACCTTGAATAGTACGCTATCTCAATACATATGTGCAACCGGGGCCTTCCATGGGCCCTGTGCCCGCTCCAACAATCCGCTCATTCGCGCGACTTTAGGTGCTGGCGGTTCCTCTTGCGCGGCACTCTTGCGCTTACGACCGCGTCTTACCTTCAATTTATCTACACTAGCTTTCTCTTTTTCCGCGCGTTTCGCTCGGGCGTCCTGAAGATCCTCGTAGCTCATTACTTTGGCCTTCCCAAGGACTACGGACCTAGTGGATCGGCGAACCTTGGACTCGTTGTTATGCTTAATTAAGAGTCCGTTATGAGCCTGTAAAAGGGTTTGTTTGGCAAAGGATATCCGGGCAGCACTTGCGAGCTTCTCTACGTGTCTCTCTAGGCGCTGTCTCCTTGGCTCATCAAGTCCACAAGTGTCTTGCTTAATTAAGTTGTGCAACGATGAAAGGGCATCCGTTGTGACTGGGGTTACTGGTGTTACAGGCGATTCTAACACTTCTTCTTGCGGACAGGGCGGCACTACCTCTAGTCCTGGCTGTTCAACTGCAGGCTTAGGTATGCCCTCAAGCACCCTTTGTGGATTAAAAGGGAACAGACCGCTCGCTGCCCATGCAGATTTGATATTCCGCCTAGTAAGCGCCGTCCGCCTTGCGGGATCGTAGAGAGATGTGAAGTGGCTCTTCTCAACCGTCTCTACACCTCTGCGATACAGACGCTCAACCTGATCACGATAGGCTGTCTTCAAGGGGGCGAAAACCCCAACATCACAGGGCTGAAGCTTGTGAGAGGTGTGGGAAGGAAGACGACACAAGACAATCTTGTTCTGAAAGCAAAATTCCAGGACCTCCAGCGTTTCGTGAGTCCCGAAGCCGTCGCAGATTAGTACCCGTGGTTTACCGTTGGCTCTATCTCTAGTTTGGGGGTCGAACACACGCCTAAACCATTCTAGGTTCACTTTAGAGTCGTTATAACCATTTTCCGAATGTCCGTAGTGCCAACCAGGTGTCTCATACGTTGTCCAGTTGTCCCGGTGAGTCGACGCGGGCCAAATGATCAGTGGGAGCAGCGACCTACCGTCGGCACTTATACACTCAACAGCGGTCACCATTGTCCGTTTAATACCTACGCCTCTGTAGTCCCTTGAGTCGTCCTTACCTACCAGGACCTTAACAGAGCCTAGCATGCTTAGCATCACGCCGGTCTCGTCCATATTATAGACATTTTCTGGCAGAACAGCCGGGTCATCTAGTACGTTCCTGATTACGCCAAACCATTCCCACACCTTATTATATATGTTCTTGTCGTGACGTTTCCAGTCTATGGGCCTTACTCTCCTTGCTTTGAGTTCGGGATGCCGTCTCTCAAAGGCACGAGACCAGTTCTTGTTCGGGGCTTTCAGGGCGTTCTTCGTCGGATCGTCGGATCGCTGGCGGGCGATGCAGAAGGCTAACGATGGTATGTACTTGATTCGCACTGGTTGCCCGAAGTTAGACAGTAGGAGTAGAAAAGTTACTAATGCTTTCTCTTCCGCCACAGTGAGATACTGCTGGCTCTGGGCCTTCTCCTCTGGTGAGCGTCGTCCTTTTGCACGATGAAAGATTGTGGTGGAGGGAACGCCGCTGTGTTCCGATAGGGCAGCATATGTTCTACGTACGCCTGGTGGGAGGCGTTGGGCAAGCGCTTGCCTGGCTCGGTCCTTACTGACCATCGTCGGTGCATTCGTTGATGGAAAGGCACGATAGACAGCCGTATGCAATGAGGCGGGACACGCATGCTTGTGCTAAAATTAGTAACACGTGCTCCTTTGTTGAGGTGCACCAAAGAATAGATTTAAAGAGGCTTAGTGTAGAATACAATACATGAATGACTAATCTCGCTCTTGGCGAGCGCCGTGATGCACTGCAGATCTTCTCGGCCGGATAAATGCGGATGGCTTCAAGCTGGGCTCTGGGCGTCCTACGATTTGAGAGTACATTCTTACATCACAGATCTAACTACTGAGCCCTCCGAGGTTTATGTTTTCATGGAATCTGTGGTGATATGGCGGCGCAAAGACGATATGGCCCTGCTGCTCTGAAACAAATGATCGGCACTATAGCTAAGAGCATCGGACTTTGGTGGTCGCGCATAGGCTGTTGATAGAGGGATGTCTAAGGAATGATAACGTGTTAATAGTAACCTAAAAGAATAAGTGGGAAAGAGATTATGATACTTTATAATAGATTCGTTTCGGCACAGGGCGTTTTTCGCCACGCATAGATAGACATTACACTCTTATCCAACTATTCTGTCTACAATGCCCGCACCAAATCGTGTGACAAACGAGCATATATCCAGCAACGGTGGGCTGACATCAAGAGCCAACATCACGCCTAGAAATGACGGACTATCGCCGCCCACTTCCCTCTATCGTCTTCTTTTGAGCCAGAATTTGATTACGCGATTACCAATCTTGTTTTTGCAAAAGTTGCGCGTGCAGTTATCTATGTAACTTTAGTATAATGGATCTAATACGTCTAAGAACATTTTACAGGGTTTCAGTCTCTTCAACGTGGCCTGATATGTGTCCACCTTAGATGTTCTCTCGCGTACGTTCAGGGTTAAGAGCTCTTCGTATCCCACAAGATCTCACATCACATCACATTGTCCGCATCGGCAGGTATATTACTGACCGAATTAACTTTTCTACATATCAATCCAGAGAAGCAAAGGACAGGTGGAAGAAAGCCTCCTGGCTAACACCGAGGACCCATATACGCCAAGGGAAGCCGCAGGAACTGCAAACAGAAGGGAAAGCGCAGGATTCGTCCGTCTACTGCGTGACTATGGCAACAGCAGAGTTCTGTCGCCGTACCTCGATTCGCTGTTCACTTGGTACTCAACTTCTGCACATCTCCCCGCCCAGCTGCTCGTTTCTCTTCCTTAGCCCATCCCTCTCAAGCTCAATCTTCGCAATATACTCAACAGCGCACGATAGCACCATCGCTTTGCTCGGCTTCAGCCACCCGATTACAGCGCCCTCCCCGCTCTGCGACAGCATCGGAACAGCGCGTCTCAGTCTCCCCAGATCGGAGTTCAACCCCTCGCGGTACTTGCGCTCAACTTGATTATGCGGCTGGCGTGGCGCACGCTGGTATTGCTTTGAAGAGGAGGCGTTGGTAGACGGAACTGGTTTCGCGCCAGAAAGGTTGCGGTTGAGCCTTGGACGGCCGCGCTTGGGCCGGACTTGTCGTGGAGCCGACTCTTCGTCTGGTGAAGGCGCTTCTTTCGGGATCTCGCACTCAGGTAGTGGAGGGGACAAGGGTGGGGATACGAGGGCTGTGATGTCGTCGCTAAGAGGTGAAGCAGAGTAAAGTCTGGTGTTGGGCGTGGTAGGCATGTGCAGGTTGAATGTGGAGACCCTGTCAGAAGTGGATGCGCAGCTTTCCCTGAATTCGCCAAGCGGCTGCGTGGGGTAGTTCGCTAAGTGACAATCCCAGCCTGCGGAGTATTCAATAAACGAGTGAGACCGTTCGAACCAAGCATAGTTAGGAAAGGCTCCTAGCGATTGGTCGGGTGGGGTAGTGTACAAGCCGATGGGGTAGGCTTGGTCGAACGAGTTTTGCCAGTAAAAGGAATCGTCGATGGGCGAGTAGTCAGCATCGGCGACCATGCCGTTGGCAGAGAAGCCGGAGTGCATGGTGTTCTGGTGGTGAAGAGCACACAGCAAAGTAAACTAGTAATTATATTGAGTCAGACGGTTACTGAACAACGGTAAAGACTCCTGAGACAGATAACGTAGCTGTGTTCAAGCTCGAGGATCCGGGCTCCGAACTAGAGTGAGCAAGGCAGAAACGGATAAGAGTGGCACAAATGCTGCGTGTGATGCTCTAGTGATATATTAGTCCAAGTTAAGATGCCTTCATATACCCACATGGCAGCTTTCGCGCACGCTTGTTGCCATCTACAGCAACAGCCCACAACGACAGCAGTCGAAAGATGATGGGCTGTTAACGACAGCGCCAACCTTGGACCAGAGATCGGGGGAGCTGAAGGGATCGCATCGCCAAGCAATGGTTACTGCCATTGACCCGCGCCGAGGTGAAAAGATACCAGGTTGTAGCCACTCAACGTTGCGGTATTGTAGCATGCCCAGCATGCCCTGCATCCCTGCATCTATCTGTCCCTGGACCCTCGCCACATGCGCCCCAACGGTCATGTGTAGATACAATTTAAGCCTATGTCTGCAGTGCAGCTGTGTAGCTTTCATCATATGGCTCTAGAGCCATCGACAAGATGCAGAGCGTGGTTTCTCCAATGAACACAGTGCATCCGCAATCCTTTGAGCAGGTTTTCGCGTTCCAGACTGTTCTAAAGCTTATCTGGGCTGCAAAGCTTGGGATCTCTAGGATTGCTGTGTCCATCCTCTCGAAGTGCACAAGCCTAGCGCTTTGCACACCAATGCGCTGTTCTCCGGCAGAAGAAATCCCTTTCTGAACTGGCGAACACCGTCTGCGGTCTGACGCTTCACAAAATAATGGAAGAAAGGGTTCAATGCAAAGCGCTTACTTCAGTGAAAGCGAAAGGCATCCCAGAGGTAGAGCCCTACTTACCCCGCACAGCTGCGTCACGACCATCCATGTCGGACACTCGCTGTCTCCACAAGATCTGCTTGCTCACGACGGTGCATCTCCCTGCACATGGCCACTACAGGTGTTATTTAAGCACGACAACATGGGGCCCGAAAGCCTTGACAGGATCTTTTGCACGTCGATACCGGCGCAAGGCGTCGAACAAGTCTCTGCGGTCTCATGTAGCCAACATCCACCTTCACTTTGAAGCGTGTCGCGGCATCTAGTTGTCTCGTATCTAGAGATCATACGGGATGGCTATCTTGTCGCGCGATCTGCATTAGCTACGCACTGGCGCACCAAATTCACTGCGGTTGACCACTAGCTAGATTCGACGTGCACCTTTCCGCCATAGTTTGCGCGTCGTTCTAAAACAGTGTCTTGCAAAGAGGTTTACTCGTAGCGAACCTTAAGCTTCCAGGATGCAGATTGTGGGTGAGATCATGGGTGATTTCTGGTTCTGTGTAGTGGAAAGGTGTAGAGGGAAATGACTACCGAGGGAGCGCAAAATTGAGAGATAGCGACAGGTATTCGCTGCAGATGTGTTGGAGAAGGGGAAGAGCGAACCCTCTTCTTCTCGTCTCTGGGTCTGTGTTCCGTCCAGCTTCCCGCTAAGGCATGGCCTGATCCTCAACATTCCGGTCGAAGGCTGCCCACTGTGTGATTCTCTTTAGTCCGTCTTTTCCTTCTCAGCTTTGCGATAGCTCTCCCACCAAGTGCTGATATTAGGCTCCGTAGCTTGGCTGTAGCCCTTCCCAATAAGCTGCCATCGTATCAATCATCTGTCGTTGTCCAATCCTATGCTTCCCGCCACTCCGTTATCATGCAACGCATGGTCTTCATCGGTCCAGGTTTTGCCAACATAGCAGCGAAGGTCTACGGATACGAAGGTATCTACATTCACAGGAAGGCCAGCTACTGCGATTAGGAAATGAGGAAAGGGAACAGTCCAGTCAAAGTAACACGTTCCTCCATTGTCCAGTGTCGCCCGCATCTATCCATTGCCGCCCGCTCAAACGGATTGCACCATCGAGCAGCCTAGTAGCTACACTTCCCATTTTCTTCGTCATATCGGATATGCTAATCGCGATCGATGCTTTAGCTTGCCCAAAGGCCCCTCTCCATTCTTTGTATTCGCTTCTTTCGACTATCGCAATACACGGGCTGGGCTTACAAGGCTTGCCATAAGCAATTTTGAGGATTTAGGCAAAGCGGCAGAGTGAAAGATTAGTCAGACTGCTAAGTCTACTACGCACCTGTTCTCTCTTCGAGTGTGACTCTGCGTCTCGGATGGCGAGAACAGGTAAAGAAGTGATGATGCTCTGGACTTGGACAGCGGTCTGCTCTTTGAACCCTGTGCGTGAGTAGCAACTACCTATAGTCTCTCAATGTTTGGTTTAAGCGAGCATGTCGCCTCGCAGTTCGATTTAAGCCCGTGCAAAATGCACAATGTTCCTCACTCTCCGGTGGTTGTTGGAAAGCAAAAAGAGCAGCAAGCAGTCGCCCGGCAGCAATTGGCAGTCGCATCCACCGGGAGCGTGCTCACAAACGACGACTAAGATAGTCGAGCCGAGCCACCAAAACAGAAAGAAGCCACAAATTCAACGCTTGGACTACGACTGTGTAAATATTTAGGGACTCCAAAGTGGCATTAGTGACAGCTTACAGCTTCCTGGTGTCTCTTTTGGTCACATTGCCTGGCAGCCTGGAACTCGAGGTCCTGCTTCATGGCTAGGTCTACATCGTACGTCCTCACGCGATCGTCTGACAACACTGCACATCAGCAGATCGTCTTTGTAATACCTGAACATTTGTCGCACGTCGGCATTCGTCTACCGACTTTCTTCTTGGTAATCTTCAGCGCTCGGGGCTCCTGCTGGCACAATAAGAGGTGCGGTGACGCTGAGAAAGAAAAAGAGTCTGTGGCACCTCAGTGTTATAAACACAGACGAGATCCGCTGCCAGTCCATCCGAGCCGATGCAGGCTCCTACCGTATGGTCCTCCTTCCGAACACTCTCAACATGGTTGAAGCGCCGAATGTAACCGTTAATACTCTGCATCCTGTAGCGACTCGGGAGACGCAACAGCTCTAAGAGTTCTGGAAAGAATTAGGCAGGTCATGGAGCGCCTAGTAAGCTATGTCATTTGTCTATCAGTCTCAACATGTGTAGACGACACAATTCCCTAAGATAATACCGTGCCCACATCGTCGGGCACATTCTTGGAGTTGCAGCTCGCTACAACACTCAAGAAATGGCTGACCCAGAAGCAGGATCCACTCGCCTTCTCTTCGACCCCTGTCTGCCTCTCGAACTGTTAATCTTGTTGTTCTCGTCCTGCAACATATCGCGCTCTAGTGTAACCATCTCGATGTGATTGATGGCGGCGGTAATCACCATGGATTTACTTGGTCTTGGTTGGCTAGTGCCGTCTCCATCATCGCTCTGCAGCAGCGCCGGTACGGCTCTTCGCAGCCTCTCTAGCTGCGCATTCAAGCCTTCACGGTACTTCCGCTCGACCATGTTGTGTGGAATTCTAGTGGTGCATAGACCTTCCGTTGATGCGCCTGATGCGCTGCGTGCGATCGGATCGAGTTTGGGCTGGCCTGGTTTTCCCATCTGGCGCTTAGGTGCCGTCCCTGCATCAGCCAAAATCCGTGAAGAAGACTCACCCTTTGGAGCGCAGGACGGACCATCTAATGACATATCGCTGCAGGAACGGGACGTTGGCGTAGCCTGTCGTCGAGACACGCAATCGGGCGACAGAATCTGGATTGAGTTCGTATCCGCGTTGACCGCAGTGGCAAAGGCAGTTGTTGATACCTCTGAGGACCTGCGCAAGAAATCGTTCGGAAGGTCGTAGCGCGCAATGGCCTGGTCGAAAAAGGTGTCAGACAAAGCCCAGGGAAGCTCGTCCAGTTGCGAAGTACAAGCGTCCACCAGGTAGGGGCTGTTCGGCTGTTCCAAACACCATTCGTTGTCGGTTATAGTGTCGAAAGCCATCTCGGCGGTGTAGAAGTTTGGACTACTCATCGTAGGGGGATCACAAGTTGCTTACATTCGCCATGATGTGAAGAGCCTTACATTTTAGAGGGTCGCATCGACGCAAACAACTCCTCACACTACGTCCATTTCCAGCACACACTTCGCCATACTACGCATTTGCTATGTCCACATTCCTTGTCTTTGCATGCAATGGAGGACACCGCATATGACAGAAGACGCGCCTAGGACGAGTTGGGGACATTGGCGGCTCGGGACGTTTTACCGAGAGCACGGATCAGCGAACCCAGCACCGTTCTGGTGCAAAGCATACCTTCCTAGTGGAACGATTTTGCCTTCCGGCGGCTTGCAGTTACACGATCACACCTAACCTAGAAGATTCCACAAGGACTGTTGGGAGGACCACCATGGCTTCGCTTAGGCGCTTCGCTCAATCAGAGCTCAGTCGCTGCCAACTATTGTTTGTGACCTAGATAAATGTCATTTACCGTCGGCGGCATCGGCGAAACAACCCACTCGGTGATCCAACCATCTGGCCATCAACAACCATTAACTTCAACACGTCATAACTTCACCAATTTGGATCCAATACAGGCCGCAGTTAACGATTTAGAATCGTAAGAGCAGGTAGAGCAATTTCCATATAGACAGATAGCTTTGAAACGCGGCGTAAACTACACAACCTCGATGAGAAGATACAAAGGCTCTCAGAGCTCTTTAACAACCAGATCAATTAAACAGCACAAACTCAGCCCACAATAAGAGATGGAGCTTATAAGACACTTTAAGAGTCTAGCAAAGAGAGGCCTTCCACCTACAAGAGAGGCGACACAAAACTCTGCTTCACAGATAGCTAAGGAGGAGGTGGGAGAAGGGTGGGTGACACGCTTCCTGGCCAGGAACAACAACCACGTCATATCACAATGGACTGTTGGCATGGATAGTAATACACCAAGAAACCTCGCAATAATAACTGTTGTGGGTGGCTATACAGCTTCATTGTTGACTCGGTGAACATGTTGGTGGGTGGCTCGATTTGCGCGCCGGCTCAATATGCGTCCCCGCACATTATGCTGTCAAAGTATAGTGAATTAATAGTAAGATGTAGAACAGCCAGCGCGGTGGCTTAGCACACGTCGGTGCACAGTATTTGTCCTTCACTCCTTTAGTACGATCTCGATATTGTGCATCCAACGCGCCGATATTCGAACCCTGCACTGATGGCGCACGGGCACTGTAGCGGATCCGCCAGTGGTTCAAGATCATCGCTTACCTGGCATCCACACAGGTCGCAGAGGCGCTCTACTTCCTACCTGCGCCGCTTGCTCGCAGCCAGGGTCGGGTACAAACGCTTGATGCATACTACGCCGAGGCGCGTCACCCGTTTCCGCAGCCGAGTCGTGCAATCGCGCTTGTCGTGAGTCACGACGACTTTGCTTCATTCCAACCGTTGATACACCTAAGCTTAGCCAGTCACTAACGTCACCCTGTAGCCACGTTAATTGAATTAATAGCAGCTAGAAATCGCGTGAATCTGCCCCAAAGTTGGAGGAAATCATGGTAAAATCGGAGATTAGGTAAGTTCAACAAACCAAGAGGCAATGCAGCACAAATCCACGTCGCAACGCTAAGGATGAGGTGTTGAGTGGCGGGTCAGTTGGACTAACATTCTAAGGTGGTTGATCGATGCCTACAATCAGTAGAAGTTGCCTCTGGCCGTACAGGTTTCTGCTAGGCCTTTCTACCCTCACACTGCTATTGGACGAGCAGATGCGGCTTTGATACAGGATTGGACCTAGCGGAGCCGATCAATATGGAGTAAGAGCGGCTACGTAGAGCGGCGTCCACACTCCCGCAGAGCAATGAAGCCAAGAGTATGGTACTCGCAGCAGCGATCGAATAAATCGGTAGGATCGAGAGAGAGAGAGAGACGCCGCGTTGGACGAAGTCAAGAGGCAAGCTAGTAGGCGATGTCAGGATTATGAAGCTTAGGAACTGCTGGTCAGATAACAGACCCGCATGAATCGCTCACTCCTTACTTTTGTAGCTTTTCCTTACTGCCTTCTACATGGGCAAGCCAGCTGGGTAACTATCTGGGTTTGTCTCAGTTTCTTATCGGCCATCACACGGTTTGGATTGAGGGCTGATGCTAGCCAACACCACGGCTGTTGTACAGATTTAGTGAGACAACAGATGAAGATCATTGATTAAGCCACGCCCGAGGCAGTAGGCCATTGTTTGCTTTACTCGCATCCATATCAGAGAGCTTTCTAACGCTAATTAATCTACTGAGCCCTTGCAGTCAACCGATCAGCGTCATCGTACAACCTCAGGTGATGATATCTGCTTTGCCGCTCAAATGCGCAAAAATGCTCGGGACGTGTAACCGAGTGCCCGGCGCTTCGCGCGCAAGTAATATGGCGTGTCATTCGATTAGGTGCGTGGCCGTTAGTCTTCCATTACACGTAGTGGAGAGACGTCATCTGTTACTACCTAATGCCACGATTAAATGGTGACCTAAATAATGGGTTTTGATTTGAGATTTTCGTCATGGGTCAAAACAGCTGCTCCTTCACCGCTGTGATAAGTCACGAAAATGGCAGCAGTTGCGACAATTACGTCATTGAAAAGTATCAACGAGTTATACGACCTTATTGATATTACTTCCAACAAAATGTGCACCACTTCGAGTCAACCAGAACCAAATCTAAGGTGTTTAATTCTCCTCTGCAACACCCTTGATCGAAACATGCCGTTACTGCAGGTAGCAATGTCTGCATCGACGTTCTACGATACTGAGGAAGGCGTCTTATTCAAATATGAAAACAACGCTCTGCCTGAGAACTCTCGAGGTCCTGGAATTTATGAGGGCTTAGAGCATCTGCAGCCTTAGTCCTCTTGTTACCAAAACCTTCATTTGAAGATGGCATATTGTGGTTAGGCCATCTCCCAGCCTGCTCAATTGAAATCAGTAGTACTAACATAATTCTTTCAGGATAATTATCACTTCGCTAAAGGGAGGAGTTGATATGTCCTTCTATTCAGCAAACTGCTATCGTACCAGAAGCAGTCCTATCGGATGAGAGCAGACTGGTCGACAATCAATCAAGTAACTGTCTGGTGGTTAGCTTAGTTATTTGACAAAGGGGGGGTGCTGTCGAGGCGCAATCTGCACCGCCAGCTCAACCAAAATCGACACGAACATGATAATACATGTACCAAAAAAATATTCCAAATAGCACAAGCTTCTCACATGAATCTATATAGTAATACACGAGGAAATCTCGGGATGATAGCTATCGTGGGTGGCTCTACAGCTTCATTATTGACTTGGTGAACATGTTGGTGGGGTGGCTCAACAAGCGCGTCGGTTTACAGTGCCCGTGCGCGAGGTGAGCCAGGTCGCGGGGTGAGCCACCCGAACACCAAAACAATATTATCGTCACAACTTCAACGCGTCATAACTCTACCAATATGGACCCAATTCAAGAAGCAATTAAAGATATCGAATCGCGTGAACCAGGAGATGAATTCTCGTACCGCAAAGTTGCAAAAAAAAAAATACGGTGTTAATCGGACGACGCTGTCGCTGAGGCACCAAGGCAAAAGAAGGTCTAATGAAGCCCAGGCAGAACGCCAGCTATTACTCAACCCACAACAGAAGTTAGAACTTGTCCAATACATAGAAAAATGCACAAGGCGAGGTTTGCCACCAACGCGAGAGATGGTAGCAAATTTCGCCAGCGCGATTGCGAAGTGGGAGGTTTCTGAAAGCTGGGTTACTCGGTTTCTGCGCCGCCACGCTGACCATCTTACCACCAAATGGAGTGCCGAGATCGATCGCGAGCGCCACGAGGCTGACAGTAGAGAAAGCCATGAGTCGTACTTTGATCTACTTCACTCCAAGATGCGCGAGTACGACGTTGACGAGCGTAACACGTACAATATGGATGAGAAGGGCTTCTTCGTCGGCATCGCCTCACGCTCGAAACAAGTCTTCAGTAAGACAGTTTAGCAGTCAAAAGAACGTACTGAAGCGATCAAGGATGGCAACAGAGAATGGGTAACGCTTATTGCTTGCGTATGCGCTTCTGGTGAGGCACTGCGGCCCGCTCTTATCTACCAGGGATCCTCTAGGATTCAATCGAGCTGGGTTGACGACGTAGAGGTCGACAAACATCAGGTTTTCTTCTCTAACTCGCCCACAGGGTGGTCAAATAATGATATCGGGCTTGCCTGGCTCGAACAGGTATTTAACCGCCATACTGCAGCTAAAGCGCGACGACGAGGGCGCCTTCTAATCCTTGACGGCCACGGCAGCCACGTTACCGCTGATTTCTTAGATTTTTGCGACGCCAATCGAATCCTACTTGCCATCTTCCCCCCGCACTCAACCCACAGCCTTCAGCCGCTCGATGTGGTGCTGTTCTCGCCGCTCGCGAAGCACTACACCACAGCGCTTGACCGCCAGCTCCAGCAATCGCAAGGACACCTAATGAGCACGAAACAATCTTTCTTTACAAACTTCTGGGCGGCGTGGAGCTCTACAATGAAGCCAGAGCTCATCTCGAAGAGCTTTCAAGCTACAGGCGTGTGGCCGATGGACGCGGAGCGTGTACTAAAGCACTTTAACAACAGCACTTCGCGACAAGATTACGACTCAGAAGTTTCACACAGCAGCGGCAGCGATACTCGTAAGAAACTCCACGATTTACTTGACGAACTAGTCGAGGATAGAGCCAAAGCTCAAGCTACAGAGCTGCTAGAGCGAGTAGAGGCGCTACAGGTCAAGAACAAGCTGCTTCGCGAGGAAAACTTAGGTTTACAAGAAGCTCTCGACACTAAGAACAAGAAACAGAAGAAGCGCAATACGCTAGACCTTCAGCAGCGCGAGGAGTACTACGGCGGCTCTATATTCAGGTCTCCAAAGAAGCTCCGCGAAGCGCGCTGGCGCGAGGCCGTAAAACAAGACGAAGCCGAGCGACTGCGACTCCAGAAAACTCACGATAGAGAGCTAAAAGCGGCGGCAACAAGGTACAAGAAGCAGCAAGCTGAGGCTGCAAAGGTAGCTCGTCAACATGCTGCTGAGGAGAGGCGCAAGGCGAAGAAAGCGCGGGCTGAAGAACTGGCTACAGCTCGAGCGCTTAAACAACAGCAACGCGAAGCTGCAACCTCACAAAAATCTCGCGATACACCTAAAGGGTCTAAGCGAAAAGCCTCACATAGTGCTGCAAAAAATCCGACAAAGCGTCGTCGTGTTGTGGGCGCAGCAAGTCGGGTGGACGCTGCACCTGAGGCTCCTCCTCCGCCCACCCAGATCACGCGCACACGCTCAGTACGACTACCTAAGAAACATTCTGAGTAGATAGAAAGTTTTGCATACATCTATTTATTAATACACTAAGATATCTCGCGATAATCGCTTTTGTACGTGGCTGTACAGCCTCGTCTTTTTGAAGTCGTTATTCTGTTGGGGTGGCTCACCCCGCGACCTGGCTCACCTCGCGCACGGGCACTGTATCATCTGTCCGACCACGGTGGAGTGTCGCGTTGACTTTGGTGGGGCTGCTGGTTTGGTTGTGGGACGCATTACATCGCACCTGTTGCAGGCTAAGCGCTGTCGGGAATATGAACCTTATTACTAATAACACTGTGCGATGACCTTCTTATGAGCTGAGCTAGGATGCTAAAAATAATACGTTACATACACTCTCCTCTAGTTATTCTGTCCATAATAACCGCACTCAACCGTGCGACAGCATCACAGACATTATGCCCTTGAGCGAGACTGTTCTTACACCACTTCTACTAATAAATCAAAGAATTCATTTCCAAGAGATCTCCTGATCGTAAATGAGCCCTGAAATCCCTGGCGTGATATCTTTCATGCACATCAAGCTCATAATAAGCGCACCTTTTCAGGATCACGCCACATCAGACAACACTAAAAATTTGTACAAAGGTCAGAATAAAATGTTCACAATGATTCGCAAACCGCCCAACCTCCAAAGAACACGTCTCTCATCTCAAAATTACATAGACTTAATATGCAGCTTCTCCTCCTAGCACTTCTAGGACTGGCTGTGGGTTGTTCGTCCATACCTAAACACCCTGCGCATACTAACTAAGCTCAGTCAGCATCACTCATTCGGCGCGACTGGACATGCCCTGCTCTCATCAGTGGATGCACGAAAAGCTTTCTCGTAACGTCCGGCACCTGCGACTCGATTGCTGCCGCGAATGGACTCGCGCCGAAAGATTTCTATGCCTTGAACCCGAGTCTTAACACACCCAGTTGCAACAACCTGTACGCAGGATGCTCCTACTGTGTCGCCAAAGGATCGAACCCGTCTGTCTGTCCTACCGATTATAACGCCAAGTGCGACAAATTCCATGAGGTCAAGACCGGCGATATATGCCAGGCAATCATCCAACAGAATCCACCATTAAGCCTAGACCAACTGTTCGCATACAATCCATCGATTCACAAACCGGCATGCGATAACCTTTCCCCGGCTTGCAAGTACTGCGTCCACGTACGTGATGCGCCGAAAGTCCCAGAGCCGCACCAGCCAAACGTCAGGAAAGATTGCAAGGAATATTATCAGGCAGTTGCTGGAGACTACTGCTACAAGATCTCTCTAGACAAAGGAATCAACCTTAATGATTTCATGAGTTGGAATCCAGACGTTGGTCCCACGTGTCTGAATATGTTAGTGGGTTACTGGTACTGTTTGCGGACATGATATTTGCGCTATGATGGGTCATGGTAGGGAAACACACTCTTTAGGGTATTAAACACAGCTCAGACATCTGGAACGTCTTTCGATAGGTCGCATTGTTCCTCAGAATCGTCCCTAAAATGATAGACAAAGCTAGGAAGGGAAGTATGGGCATTTCAGGCCGTAATCCTTCAATACACATCACACAAGCTGAGCTCACTAAGACGCTCGTTTATGCTCTTAGCCCATTCCAGATGGTTGATTCCACACAGATCAAGATCTTCATTCCACCAAGCCTTAGATATGTTCCTTTCATCAATCAAGTCGTAGAGGGCGACGTCGTTAGTATCTATAAAGCTTTGAATCGGGACAGGCAGCGCAGGGTATTGTAGGCCGTTCGAGCTCCGTTAAATCATAGATTGTCGAAATGAAGTTGTGCGTTGTGCAAACTTGAGATTTAGTATGGGAAAGTAGCTGTCATAAATGCTGTAGCCGAGATTAGTTCCTATTTAAGTCTTTACCTACAGCTAGTTTAAACCTAAAGACACGGCAAGGTTTCTTTAGGTCGTGACATGGCTATTACATCCTAGGATCATCCCTCTGTCCTCAAAATACATAACTACTGGAAGAGTTGAAGTTACATATATCAATGGGACACCCGGTGAATGTCGAGCGAATGCCTCTTGAAGTGCATCATATCCACCAATATATCCGAACATGTAGGATGGCGGCATTGGAACTCTGATTGAAGTTCAGCGAGTCCGAAATGCGTCTCCACATGCTTCCTTAGTACGTCCTTTCGTGGAATACAGCGCATCCTCCGCTCATCCGAGAACTCTTCATTCCCTATGCAGATGAGGCATATCGGGTGAGGGGCCACGGTTGGAAACAGCTGCTGAGACCGTACCTCCAAGACGTTTTCGCGCCGTGGTGCGTCCAGCTTTTCTTTCACCATTTCGCAATCCAGATGCAGCGGGCTCCTCTCGACACCATTGGTGCCCTTGTTTCGTTTTTTCAAGAAAAATGAGCCATTAGGTTCACATGCGATCAACCCCGCCCTTTTTCGCTTGAATGCCTGTGGCTGCCGTGTCTCTTTCCGTATGTGCTCCCAAGATGACCCGTAGTCTGGTTCCGTTCTACTGGGTCAAGAGCGCCTGGTAGATCCTATAAGCCTGGACGAAAGAAGAGCAACACACGATCTAAGGCAGAATTACTGTTGATACTCCTTCCAGAAGCCCGTCGTAGCTGGTACCGCTCTAATGATTCTTCAAAGCCCGCAACACGCCCTAAGCGTACAAAAGTGTCACGATATTTCGCGTATTGGAAACGCCTTCTCTTTCAATATGCGGACACCCTCGCTTGTACTCCTTAAATCGCATAGGAACGGTTTGTTTAGCAACTCCTTTTCCCATTTGATGCGGAGTACGTCGCGGTCCGCAGGTATACTCAGGTCGAATATATCTTGAACACTAGCAAATTCGTCTCTCAATGCTCCTTGACCGATGCCGATGCTCAGAATGTAGGAAACTATGCAGAAGGCGGGGGTCCCTTTTAAGCGGAAGGTGAACTTCTTTCTGCAATGCGATACTTAGCGAGACTTCTTATCCTCGACAACGGCTATCTTACTTACGGTTTCCCGTCCTTTTCTTTATTTTTGACGTTCTCAAGATTAACGTTCGCCACAATAGTGCTCTGGTTAGGGTCTACTACGCTGCGAACCTTTAGAAGTTCGATGTTCTTGAACGAGAGTGCCTTGTTGCTGCCTTTAGCACTTGCGCTTTCGACGATGGCTCCGGGTCTCGTCGCTGTAGCACCGCTAAGAAGTAGAAGCAGCGATATCTGAACTCGAATAAAACCATGGAGGGGTTTGGTGTCATCTACCCAGAGTGCGTGAAGAATGGTGTAGAGGTCCTGGACGTACATGGCATGCTTTTCCTTCTCGGAGTTACCAAGCATTAGGGATGGAATCCACTGCTATGATATAAGCTCGGCCCGATGCAAGGGATAAACATGTCTATCAGAACATACATTACAAACGTCGGTGAGGACATCTGCGTCCATTGTGTGGCGTGTGAGATCCATGTAGCACATGCTAAGTCTTTTCCAATAGCTCCGCATTGAGCTCCCTTTCTTAACCCGGGAGTTCCTCTTCCGCCACCGGAGGTACGCTTTGAATGCCTCTGGGTCGAATTATGTCTACCAACCTTGCGAGAACCACACTGTTACAAGAAAGAGAGGAAATACTGAGGGATATAGCTGAATTGGCTGCCGAAACGGAGCGCCGTTCTCTGATGACGCCCGAAGAAAAGAGTTTGGAGAACGGGTTACGCTTACGAGGTGAACTCGAGAGTAAGCCCGCGTTAGCAATCCTGCTACATCCAACGCCCCCTACGTGGATGGCACGAGCACGATGCCGAGCCGATTACTGTTCCTTCGCAGAGTGCAGAGTGATCAAAGAGGAATATCGGATCGTGTTCGACACAGTACCGCGAGTGTGTTTTCACGTATCCTGTATTGAGAAAATGCTCGACCTGCCTTCGCTTGCCCCCGCACGCTTCAAACTTGACACGGACTGTTACCGATGGAATCGGGACTGGCCTTGGACGTGGGGCTTGATGTTGCAGAAATGGTTCGAACATGGTGGCTGCATTAATCTACACAAGATTGCAAGGTATTTCAAGGCCTATATAAGGTATGAAAGGGAAGTCAGTAAACATGATGCAGCTTGGATTCAATGTCAATTGGCGCAATAACGTAAATGTAAGGACGAGGAGGAGATGTGCAAATGTCCTTCGCAGCCAGATGCACCAGAAGAACCACTTCTAGATGATTACCAAACGAATGAAGGCGACGTTTGTCCCCTCTCTATGGTACTAAGTCATCGGCATGTAGAGAGGGCAGCTTCGACAGTTTAGAATGTATCTTCATACCCTGATAGGACATTCTAGGTGCTAGCAGCAATCATACGAATGCCTAGGGGATACGGTTCCGTGAATCTCTTGAGCATGTCGTTGCAAGTGCATCTTGTCTAATAGGGGTACCTTACAAAGATTGCAACTAAGACTCTTCCCACTCTCAATGTGTTTCAGGTGCTTACGTCCAAGATGCTTACTAAGATCGCCTGGGGTACTAAAGGGATGTATGCGTTGTGCCAACGGCAGTCCTTCGTTGCCTAGGCAAAGGAAACATATCTTCGGCCTTTTCTCCTTGAACACCGAGATCTTGGCTGCTTCCAATGCCTCTTCGTCGTATGTCTGCTGGCTCTTGACGGGTGGCGTGGCGTTCCTGCTCTGCCTTACTATTCGGATAGGGTTCATTCCCCCCTCTTCGACGCCACAGTACAGGGAAACCGCACGAATGGCCCTATTACGCCTGTTCATCTCCTCTTCTATAGTGGTCCCTGGGTTCGACAGGACCGAGTCGGCCAGCTCCCCTTGAGCCGGGAGCATAATGTCGTGAATCGGCTCCGGGTCGTCCTTAGTTTCTAAGCCAGCAAGCTGTCGCTCGACGTCACGCACGGGTTGTTCAAACTCCCAGCGTTCCTTGATGTCCTTAAGAAGGGCATGCCGTCGACGCTGCCTTTCTTGGTTGATTTTGGTGGCAAGCGCTTTGTACTTAGGATGTTTTGTTGCATTGGGAACTGTACGTTTGAGTTGCTCTCGTCTGTTAAGCAGGGAACGGACGGAAGGATCATTATCCACAGATGCAGACTGTTCCTGTGTAAGTCGTCGTGGCCGACGACGATCAATCGAACGGCTCATAGTACAAGCCGCCCGCATAAGGGCTGCCTGAGGCTGGATGCCTCGCACAACAGCCTGCGTGTCAACGGTGATACGTCGTGAGAGGTAATGCCTCAAGAATGTCACTATGCTAGCGTGGCCCATCATCAGGTTTTGCATGGCCTCACTAACGTTGCCTATACACTACGTTAATTCTGCACCCTGCGTCATACGTCTTGCATAGAATAGATCGCTGGACTTACCGTTTTCATTAAAGGCCTTCCCTCCGGCATATCTCAGTGAATAAGGACGGGTGACTTGAGAAAATCCCGTGACCTCGCCCAAAGTTCGAATCCACGGCAGCAAGGTGGAGTAGGGAAGAGGGTCGTTAGAAGAGATGTCCCAACCGTGCAGGGTTCTCACCGCTTTACGAAACACGGGAATATTGTCTAACATCGGGTTCAGGCGTAAAGGTAGTTCGTTGCGGCCTGGCGGGATCGTCAGCCTGCTTAGTTCCTCTGGTGAGGTTAGATTGTAGGCTGCAAACGCCCGGTCGTAGAATAGCAGGCCAAGGAGGAAGACATGTGGACTGAAAAGTAGCGTCTCGTCGTACATAATTTCTGGGAGAGGGAAGGTATTCCTTAGACAATAGTTAGCAAGCGTGTGAGTTATAGCATAGGAAGAATAATCAGGTACATGTCTTTGATACCAAGGAACTCCTTTGTGAATTCGAAGGTGAACTCTAGCAATACTCGTTGAGGGCCACCTTCTGGATCCCGTAATAGCGTGACTTGTATATGCCGATAGCAGAGACTGAGAAGAGCTTGAGGCCGATTCGCTGTAAACCCACCCAGTTGTAAATAGAGCTGGGCTTGTATCCTATAGCGTCCGTGTGGATATCTCTTTTCGGTGGTTACCAGATTCGTTTGCAACACTTGGGCCAAATCCTCGACATACATGCAGGCCTTGTCTCGGCCTATCTTCTTCAACCCGTGCTTCTTTGCCAGCTTCCTTAGAACCTGTTGTTAAGTTAGATCTGAATACTCATGTAAGATTGCAACGAGAAAGCTAGCTCTTAATACCTTGTGCATGCTTCGATTCATCTTTCCATCTAGTTTTGCTCCTGTTGCTCTTTCATACACTAGGCGGAAAACCTTCCAATACGTCCCTAGGGAGCTGGCGAACTTGGTCCCTCGGCGTTTTCTCCCGTTTTTTCCCTGGCGCTGGCTGAGTAGCCAGTCAAAGAACGTGTATAGAGTAGCGACGGATACAGTTGCGTAGGCACGATAGTGGTCTTTTTTTAGGTACGTCCAGCATCTATGCCGAGGTTAGTCTATGCGTTCTAGCGCAAGCTACAAGGGGAACGGGAGACGTACTGATTCCACTGATCTTCCATACGATCAAGCAAGCGAGTACTGCTGTCCTTGTAGTCCTCTTTCGCATACTCTTGTTCATCGAAGACCTCTAGCTGCTGAAGGTAGTACTCAGGCGGATGATCCTCATTGGGGAAGAGCCATGCTTCATCCTCATCATCCTCATTGTTGTTGTCGGCAAATTCGTTGATGTCTGTCAGATCTGTATCCAGCTCCATACCATCGTGTGTGTCAGATCTAGTGTAATCGCTGTCGTTGGAGGAACTCTTAACCAGTAAACGTCGTCCCATGTCGCGCAGTATTTGCAGAGACGTGGGAGAGGTAGAGCGAGTAGAGGCAGAGCATGCATCTAAAGCTGTGCATCTAAGGCAAGGCGTAAAGGGAGAATAGAATAACACGACGAGAATTTAAGTTTGAACGATAATGCAGGCTGCAAAAGAAGAAACAAGAAAAGGAGGATAAGGTCCCTGTTGATGTTGCTCTAGACAGCGAGGAAGGAGCCTTTAATACTCTGCTAGCAGGACGACCTTAGGTTAGGTTAGCATTTACATGTAGTGTTCGGAGGAGCGAGTCAGGTCGCAGGCGTGCCGCAGCGTTCCTAACAGGAAATTGAATCGGCCCTTGGACTTGTTTAACACCTACGCTAGCCAAGGTAGGAAAGCCGGAGACGCTTCCGCTCGGGCCACAGCCCGCACGATTAGGGGGGTTTTGCGGCAAGTTAGCGTCCAGAAACGGCGTCACAAACTACTAAAATCAGCAGCCAAATCGCCGTTGGATTGTTTAAGATAGTAAATCTTATATTAAGTTATATCTAATTCCTTAATAGTTTAATCTTTCTAAGTAATATCTAGCTCTTAACTTTTTAAATCTATCTAATATTATATATAGACTAGTAAATAGATACTCTCTACTATAGAGTATAGTAGAGATTAGATTATATTAGAATAAGTAGGTGGAAGTAGCTGCTTGTTCTAATAGAACTTAGAGGTAGAGGTCTCTACCTTCTACTTATTTCTAGTAGGCTTAGAGGTAGCTAGTTAATAGATTCTTAATAGAAAAGAAATAGTGCTAGAGAAGAGAGATAAAGATTAGATTAATCTACTCTTATAGTTATAATCGTCTCTACTCTCTATCTATTAGTTATTTTACTTCTATATATACTAGCTGCTCTAGATTCTAGAAGAATCTATCTTAGTAATAGATTGCGTAATAGATAGATAGATTAGATTAGAGATTAATAGATTACCTAGATCGTTAAGATTAGGTTATAATTTTAACTTAGGTTAGAGATTAGTATCGTCCTAACATAGATTAGAGATTAATAGATTAATTCTATTAGAGAT